TGCACTTCCTCATTGCTCTTTCCCTGTTCTAATCACAAGCAGAGTAGGATGTGCCGCGGGGCTGCCGTTCAGGTCGGGCTCAGATCCTAGTGGTGGTAGGCAGCGTTTTTTTATTGGGCGATTATTGGACAGAGTGGAAAGGAGGAAGAACCCTGACTGTCTTTCTGGGATTCAGGAATGAGGATCAGAAGGGATGAGTGGAGAGATGAGCTCACACTCTTGTGACCAGTGGCTTCAGTCTCTCCCTTTCTTGAGGAAGGAGGAGAGAAGAGAAAGACTAGACCTGGTTGATTTGGGCTGTGATTGTGTTTATGTCCAACACACTGGGGGACAAGTACGTTCTTGTGAATCTGAGCCTGGGTTCCATGGGTCCTGATTGGAGTCTGGCTCCCAGTTGTACTGTGAGCACTTTTGCCTTTTAGTGCAAAAGCTGTCAACACTGCCTGGGTTTCTTACAGGCAGCTCAGAACAAAAAAAAAAATATATATATATATATATATAATCATTGGTAGGGGAAAGTTTATGACTTATGTGATGTTCTCCATGTGATTTATGACAGAACTAAAATCGAGCTTGAAATGAAAATGGATCAAAATGAAAACAATTCACCTTATCCATGGTGAGTCAAACAAATCTTCATTTGTGCACTGGCTAATTTTTCCTCTGTGCTATATCCAAGGAATGAAATGAATATAAGACAAATTGGCGGTGGGGGGCTTGGGGTGTGGCTTAGTGGTTGAGCACTTGCCTAGCCTATAAGAGGCCCTGGGTTTTGTTACCAGTGCTACAATTAAAAGTGAAAAAGCAAAACGGTTTCAAACATTTCACCTTGACCTTCAAATGCAAGGACATGCAGTGAACGTCCACGGGACACTATAGCGCACAGAAACCTTGGCGTCCACCTCCGCAGGTTTAACTAACAAAGCCAACTTGACAGGCAGAAAACTTTCTAGAATATTCTGCCTGGTGCAGTTTACAAGAGATAACATGGAGGGTTGAAAAGAACCTTGGACAGGAGAGAGGAGCCTCGATGTTAGTTCTACCTACACATCTAAAATCTGCAGGGCACTTCATCTTGCTGGGTCTTGGTTTCCTCTTTTGTGAAACAGGAGTGTGGGGGACATGAAGCTGGAGGTGTCTCCCTGCTGTGCGATGCTGTGACCCCACAGTTCCATTCCTTCCTGTGCCCTTCTCCGTCTCAACTTTCTGTTCCTTTCTGAACTCGACGTGCGCTAGCTGTGTGCCGTTGCCATAATTACCCAATCACGGAACACCGCGTGGTGGAAACCAAAGTCACTGCTGTTTATGTGAAACGGTTTCATTATTTTGGAGGGAAGGCGGGAGAAAGCTCCATGCACGAAGCTCTAATTACAGTAATGTAGTGCATTAGATTGCAGTTCTCTTTTGCCCTATTTTATTGATGATCGTAGCCCTGGAAATCCAAGCCAGGAGTTTTCTTTCTATGCTAACGTGGCTGATATTCCACACATCCCACAAGAGACCAGCACTTCTGAATCTACCAGATGGAAAGGGTGTGAGCCTCAAGGTGTAGAGCAGGAGGGAGGGGAGGGCACGGGCTGCACTCGCCCCGCAGAGTGCTCAGTGGTGACGAACACACACCCTGGTGCTGGCCTGGGTGCTAGTGCTCTGTGTTTGGCTCAAGGATCCCCAAAACTGCACCTCCCAAATTGTATCAATGTGCCACTAAGAGGCTTCACCCCGAGACAGTACAATGGTGAGGTATCTTTCTAGAATGTTCCTTTTTAAAAAAATATTATTTTTTGCAGAAAAACTATGAGCCACATAATAAAATCAAGTGAATTTTATTATGGAGTTGAATGCAGACTTGCACAAACATGTAATGTGAAACAGAAGCTTGAAAACTGGAGACTCACTGGGGCATTACTGCAGAGGCTCCTTGTATTGCTCCGCTACTCAGACGCTTTGGTGAAAAATACTGCACATGGCTGCTGCTGATATTTACTGAGGACCATGAGCTGTTCTAAGCATTTTTACGTGATTCGCTGCAGGTGCTCTCTTTATCCCCAGTTTACAGATGAGGAAT